ATCCATTAAAAAAAAAAGGAAATTTTACCTTTTGTGACAGCATAGATGAGGGACCTGGAGAGTTTTGTGCTAAGTGAAAAGCTAGTGAGAGAGACAAGTACCATATGATTTCACTTATGTATGGAATTTAATGAACAAAATTAACAAAATGGGAACAGACTCAAAGATACAGAAAATAGTCTGACAGCTGTCAGAGGAGTGGGGGGTTGGAGAACTGGGTGAAAAAGGTGAAGGGATTAAAAAAAAAACAACTCATAGACATGGAAAATAAAAAATACCTTCAAAGAAAGGAAGAAAGAAGTAAATGAAAGAGAAAGGAAAAAAAAAAACAAAAAGGAGGGAGGAAGGGAGGAAAAGAAAGAAGGAAAGAAGGAAGAATCTGTCAGTCTAGAATTTTTTTGTAAAGTGTTGGATGCTTTTATTTATTTATTTATTTTTAAAGGTTTCATTTATTTTATTTTTAGAGAAGGGAAGGGAGGGAGGGAGAAAGAGAGGGAGAAACATTAATGTCTAGTTGCCTCTCTCATACCCCCTACTGGGGACCTGGCCTGCAACACAGGCATGTGCCCTAGACTGGGAATCAAACCAGCAACCCTTTGGTTTGCAGGTCTCACTCAATCCACTGAGCCACATCAGCCAGGGTGTACAATTCTATATGAAATAAACAGATCTTTGAAAAAAAAATGTGTAAGTAGAGTCTTAAGACATATCACCAAAAGACATACAATGTATTACAAAAACTATTAAAAGTTTTTCAAGCAGAAGGAAAATAATACCAGACAAATACAGATCTACAAAAAGAAATATAGAGCACCAGGAATGGTAACTACATGGATAAATATGTCAATTTGTCTTACTGAAATTTATTTTAAAATAATTAAATGCTTAAACAACAAAAATACACATTATATGTTATATACAGGGTCCAGCAGAAGTAATGCCTGCTTACATGTGGTTGGTAGGGCAATAATATGGATATAATTTATAGTTTTAATTTGAAAATTTCACCTAAAATGTCATATGGTGTGCTTGAGTGTGATATTGTTATATTACAGAATTACATGCTTGTAATTTTATAATATAAAAGGGGTATTATTTGTGCCTAACCCTGTATATTTTATGGTTAAGATGACAATACTTGGATTGGCCTGTAGAATCAACATAATCTCTACCAAAATATCAGCTAGATATTCTTAAGAAATTGACAAGCTGATCTTAAAATTCGTATGGAGGCCTAGTTGATATGGCTCAGGGGGTTGAGTGCTGGCCTGTGAACCAAGAGATTGCCAGTTCAATTCCCAGTCAAGCCACACACCTGGGTTGAGGGCCAGGTCCCCAGTTGAGGGCATGCAAGAGGCAGGCAGTTGATGTTTCTCTCACACATTGATGTTTCTCTCTCCCTCTCTTTCTCTTTCTCTTCCCTTCTCTCTAAAAATAAATAAATAAAGTCTTTTAAAAAAATCATATGGAAAAGCAAGAGATCCAAAATAGGCAAACATTCTGGAAAAAGAAAAGAAAAGGAGACACTTCACAATTTAAAAACCTACTCCAAAGTTACAAGAGTCAAGAGAGTGTGGTACTGGTATAAGGATAGACATACAGGTCAGTGGAATAGAATTAAAACTTCAGCTATAAACCTTTCCACTGATTAATAGATTTTCAACGAGAATGACAATATCATTCAATGGGGAAAGAATAATCTTTTTATTGGTTGTCACTAGGGCACAGGCTACCAAAACAAGGAAACAAAGAAACATGGCCCTAATGAACAGATCAAAACTCAAGGAAAAAAAAAAAAAGCAAAAGGAAGGTAAGCACTCTATCAGATGCAGAACTCAAAACACTGGTTATAAGGATGCTCAAGGAACTTAGTGAAGACCTCAACTGCATAAAAAGGATCCAGTCAGAGATGAAGGATTCACTAATTGAAATAAAGAACAATTTACAGGGAAACAACACTAGAGTGGATGAAGCCGAGAGTCAAATCAATGATTTAGAACATAAGGAAACAAAAAACAAGCAATCAGAACAAAAATAAGAAAAAAAAATGAGGATAGTTTAAGCAGCCTATCGGACAACTTCAAGAGGTCCAACATTCACATCATAGGGGTTCCAGAAACAGAACAGGAAGAGCAAGAAACTGGAAATCATTTGAAAAAATAATGAAGGAAAATTTCCCTAATTTGGTGAAGGAAATAGACATGCAAGTCCAGGAAGCCCACAAAGAGTCCCAAACAAGATGGATGCAAAGAGGCCCACTCCAAGACACATCATAATTAAAAGGCCAAAGGCTAAAGATAAAGAGAGAATCTTAAAAGCAGCAGGAGAAAAGCAGTTAGTTATCTACAGAAGAGTTTCCATAAGACTGTCAGCTGATTTCTCAAAAGAAACTTTGTAGGCTAGAAGGGATTGTCAAGAAATATTCAAAGTCATGAAAAGCAGGAGCCTACAGCCAAGATCTCTCTAACCAGCAAAGATATCATTTAGAATCAAAAGGCAGATAAAGAACTTCCCTGACAGAACAAACCGAAAGAATTCATCATCACCAAACCATTATTTTATATATGTCAAATGTTAAAGATACTTAAGAAAAAGATCAAAACTATGAACCCCAAAAATGGCAACAAATACATATTTCTTAACAATTGATTCTAAAATACCAGCTAAGCAAACAAGAAGAACAGAGACAGAATCATGGATATGGAGAGAATTTTGATGGTTGCCAGGTGGGAGGGGTGTCCAGGGGAAGGGGTGAAGGGGTGAAAGGATCAAGAAGTACAAATAGGCAGTTACAGAATAGCCTTGGGATGTAAAGTACAGTATAGAAGATGGAGTAGCCTAAGAACTTACATGTGTGATCCATGGGCATGAACAATGGTGGGGGGATTGCCTTGAGGGAGTGGGGGTGCTGGGTGGAGGTGGGACATAGTGGAGGAAATCAGGACAACTGTAATAGCATAATTAATAAAATATAATTAAAAATATGTTCTTGATAAATTTGACCATTTATTTCTTTATAGCCCATTTAAATTATTTTTTTTTAGGAATACTTTTGTAGCATAAATCATCACCTCCCTTTCACAAGCTGAATTTTTCCCTATATTCTTGTGTCTTTTAAAATGAAGGATGCCTAAATAAAACGGTGTAACACAATTATGCAAGCCTGGATATTAGTCAACAGATGTTCAACCGAGTTTAGAACCAACCAAATAGCAGTGATTCTGGAAATAGCGTATCACAGTAAGCTAGACATTTAATGTTCTTATTTACTTGACTATCTCATAATTTCTCATTTAATTTTACAAGAAACCTGATATCTAATGATATTTTTTTAATAGTGGTCTCAAGTCTAAGAATATGGGACAGTTCCCAGTTGGGTCTGAAATCTGAAAACTCTCCATTCAATGCAGTAAGCCTGCACTGAAGTGATTTGGAATTTCAGGGTAGAGACTGAGAAATGACAATGACTTCAAGGAAATTGGCACTGCCGTTGGTGCTTGGTATTGCTCAAACTGGAGTTCTCCTTATTTTGGGCTCCGAACCAGAGCTAGATCAGAAATAGACTGACTTCCAGGGACCTTGACATTGTAATGGTCTTTGTGACTCTCTGGCCCTTGTTTGGAGCTATCTCTGTCACGAAGTCCCACTTAGTCCCTGAGGTCCAACCAGCACCTCAGCCTCCAGAAGCAATCTCCTTCAGAGGCTGCATGAGTTCTGGCTGACTCCTATTACCTCTGAGACCTTGACGAAATTATCTCACCTCTCCAAGCTTCCATTTTCTCATCTAGAAAAGTGGGTTACCAGCACTTAGTTATAGGGGGTGGGGGTAGAACAGATGCTTAAGGATACAAACTTGCAACCAGTAGTAAATAAGTCCTAGAGAGCTAATGCATAGTATAAGGAGTATAGAACAGTATTGCATTATAATTATCCAGCTTGCTGAGAGACTAGAACTTCATTTCAACCACTAGAAAGAAATAATTATGCAATGTGATAGAGGAGTTAATTATTGCTATAATGGCCATCATATTACAATATATAAATGTATCAAATTAACATGTTGTATACCTTAAACTTACACAATGTTGTAAGTCAAATGTATATTTTTTAAGAACCCAATACTTAGATATCATTAGATATCAGGGTTCTTGTAAGACTAAATGAGAAATTACTCTATTTAATATCCATTAAATGGACACTATGATTAATAATAATAATGATTAATAATAATTATATCTATATTAAATGGAATAATAATAAAATTAAATGGACACTATTATTAATAATAATTATATGATTAATAATACTGAAAGGTGTGGTGGGAACCCTATTTAAATATCTCATGAACCCCAGCATGTAACTCTGGCTAACTTTGCTAAAGTGTTTTACCCCTGGGCTTTTGATTTTGGCAAGCTCCTAAACTAGAACTGTAGCACTGGAGGTCAAAAGAATGGCTTTCTAAAGTAAAATCAAAAGAATACACTAAATATTTGAGAATGCATACCCATGAAATTGAGGCATGAACTATTGTTTTCTGTAAGGTGAAAATGATGCTACTTGGCCAGTGAGCACAAGAGTGGCCTATTGAAAATGTATTAATTATCAGAATAACTGATCAATGGACCAAAGGAACAATTATACTAACAGTACTCAAAGAACTTTCTATTCTTTGAAAAAGAGAAGTCTGAGAAATGTTTTTTGTTTCATTCAGAACTAAGCAAATATGTTTACTTTGCCTTTATCAACAGGTGTATTGCTACCCACTTAGGAAATTTAGTGTTTTGATTACATTATTTCATATATGTGCCTCCTTGATAAATAATTGCAATTAATTCTGTACCTGCGATCTGCATTTAAATGGCTTATTGGTCATTTATTAAACTGGTCAATGCAATTTCTAGGCATTAAGAAGTCACTATGTAATTTTGGTAGCATAAGAGACTTTGCTGCCAGGAATAAAAAATGTTAAGGTGTAACCTGGCATTGTTCAATGTACATACCAGTGTTTGCAACATGTAGTTCTCCAGAAATTACTTGTGGCATCCTCTGGGAAGGGACGCTCTCTGCCCAACCATATTGATCAGTGATTCCCCTCGGATCCCTCTTGGCATAGGGACTCTTAATTTTGCCTTCCAATATACAGGTAACTGCAGAACAGCCACTCCATTGAACCCTGGATACTTCTTTCCTTCCAAGACGTAAAAGCCTATCCATTCTCCAAAATGCTTTTGCAAAGGCTTTGTGTATGCTTTCATGTTCATGCCTCAACTCTTTTGTTCGTTTCTTCATAGAAAAGAGGTTTTCTGTAGCTCTGTATTCTTCCCTAAACACTGTATGAAAGGAACTGATTAGTTTTTGCTGTTCAGGGGTCATTTGGTATGAAGGATCAAATCTGGAAAGCTGGTGGAGAAGTAATACTGGCAGTTCCATTGATGCGAAGTCTGCTGCGGAGGCTCCGTGATGCCCATCAAACAAACCGAAGAAACACACATTGGGTTTATTGCCAAAATTATTCACTACAGTGAATTTATCATTCATGTCAGCTTTCCATGTAGAATTCCTGTCATCACAAATGGCCATTCCTTTAATTAACAGATGGCAGATTTTTTGGGGATGATACATGGGATTGCTGTGAATATTACCAATAATCTTACGGTATGCTGGTATTTGTTTCTTCCGAAGTAGTTCGAAAGCATTATTGATGTTCTGCAGGACTGTTTCAGTAAACGTAAAAGATGACAATAGTTTAGTAACTATCAGCTGTCTCTGAACAGAAATGATTGAGGGCGCTGGCTTATTTCCCCCCTTCCATTTAAGGCCCAGTGTGGCCAGGGCGGTGTGTTGTTTTTTATGGAGGAAAACTCGAGGTAGGTTAATGTTGCACTTGCATATGGAGCATGGAAATGTGATCACTTGATCACAGATCTCATGATGGTCTTCAGAGCCTCTTGATGGTGCCTCCTCCTTCTTTCTAGAATGCTTTGTTTGTAAAGGTGGGGCTTGCTCCTCCGAATCAAATGTTGATTTTCTCTCATCCCATAACCTTGACTTCCAAAACACTCTGCAAACAAGATGAAAAGGAGTTACAGGCCAGGAATGATGCACTGAAAATCTCTTCAAGCAAACCTTTGTCTTTGCGATTTGCTTTGGTTCCTCACAATTTTATATAGGCCTAGAATTGAATAGTCTGATGCATCTTCCTGTGATTCCCCCAAAAACTGCATAGTAAATACTGAATAAATTGGTGATTGACCTGTATATGACGGAATGAAATAATGCAAATTTCCACAAAGTTAGCTAGACATCTAGGAACCCAATATTTAATCCTAGGCATATGGAGGTACATGCTTGAGACCTAGGAATTTTATTTCAAAATATGAGCAAAATTACTTTTGTACTCCATTTTGTCTTGCTTAAATACTTTTGTCCTAATTAAAGGGTTCACAAGAAAATGAATGGGAGATGCTAAAACCAAACTGTGTAAGAACAGAATTTTTTAGGACTGCAATAGGAAAGAGGTCTGGACTGAGGAAAGGGAAGAAAAGATGTGGCGCTGGATGATAGATTTCTGGAGAGCTGACACCCTTCCTATCAGAAGCATCTAGAGCTGTATTCAGCAGTGGGGGCATTTTTATTTATTTTATGCAATTCCTAGGGCATGGGATCTTTGTCTATGGAAGTGTTAGAGACCTGAAAAAAGTGCTTTGGTTATAAAAAATTTCAAAATCTGAAACATCAAAGTCAGTAGCTTTAAGTGCTTATGAAATGTGGCATTTTGAAAACTAGATTACTTCAACTCAACTCATACATAAATTTTCTTGATATGAGTACATTTAATGCATTAGATGTAATGAGGGGTAGAGCCTACAGAAATAAGAATGCCCAGAGAACATAGGAACTTAAAATATCCTAAGCATCATAATAGGTATTCAAGAACATTTGTGGTTTAGATAAGAAATGAGTCCATTTAGTATCTTCAATAATGACAAGATAATAATTTTTATATAGTAACAATGAAAAAGTAATGCATAAACATTTTTTAATTTCAATGCAGCAGGGTACAGAGTAGAAATAGAAGAATGTTCTATTTGTCTCTCCATCCCACTCCCAACTCCCAAATCTCAGTTCCAGTAGTAATTAACAGCTTGTTATCTTTCCAAATTTATAGTGTATATTTGTAATATATTAATATATACTTTTAAATATTAATAATATATTGATATATAATGTAATGGTATAAATTATAGTAATATATTAACAAAAATATGTGTATATATGTAATATATATGTAATCTTTTCTGAATTATAAGTGGGATCATATTTTGCATACCACCCTAGAAGCTGCCATTTTCACTCAATACTATGTCATGGCTTCATATTGAAAGTTCAAGTATTGAAAGTTTGAATACAGACAGACAATACACTGTGAACATTGCAGACTTTGGATTTTTATTTAACTGTCTTCACTTATGAACTTTATATGACCTTAGGCGAGATACTTAATTTCTCAGAGTACCTGCTTTTTTATCTATAAAGCAAACAGTGTTGTTTTCAGCATCAAATGAGATACATGGTGAAACAATTAGCAACAGGGGACACTCAAAAAAAAAAAACCCGAAAAACAGCTGCTCCTCCTACCCCAAGTGAAAAGGACACTGAGAACTGTATTGAGTGAAAACATATCGTTTAAAGACATGAAACTTCAGTGCTTACGGAGAAATGTATTCCATATAAAACAAATTTAAGAAAATATCAGTAAATCAATGGGAGAGAATTTTTTGAAGCAGAAACTTAATCTGAGCAACATGCATGTCTCAATATGTGTTGATAAATTGTATATATATATATTTATCATTGCTTGCTTACAGTTATGTTACTCAGCTTAATAAATCATAATAAACTGAAGAAATAGAGCACAATTTTGAGAAATGTCTATAAATTAAAAATGAATGCATAAATAAAATAATGGCTATAGAAAATAAGCAAACATCTCTAGGATTCTTGGCAATAGAATTTTCATCCTATAAACTATGTGAACATCTTATTTCTAGGAAGGAAAGATTTCTATGATGAGTGATAAATAAAATTGTGCACTATGTGATAGGTAAGCAGGCTTTATCAACCTTCATATATGGTTTACACACAGCAATATAATTAAAAATTAAAGAAACAAGCAAAGCTCTGATAAGTTTGAAGTGCTTTTGCTGCTTTTCTTACTTGTATTTAATTCCCTGCAGTTACAACTGTGTTAGATGTAGCTACTCATCCTTACAGTAGAATTTTATTTACAAATTTCTGCTTTATAAATGCTTCTAGAACTATTAGCAGATTAGCAGGCCTCCCTGACTCTGCCTAATCAACAAATTTTTGTTTCTTTTTTATGGGAAAATTTAAAGTTCCATAAAAATTGAGAGACGAATATAATGAGCCCCCATATACTCATCAGTTTTAACCATTATCAACATTTTTTTTCACTCATTTCACCTGTGTCCTCAGCCATTTTATTCCATTTATTTGTCATCGGAAAATTTTAAAGCCAATCCCCAAATTATGTCACTCTTAAGTACTTCAATCTCATCAACAAATATGATCAGCATCCATTCACTTCTTCAGTCCCTGCAACAGGCCAGCTACTGTGCACAACATAGAAGATGCACAGACAGGTCAGGCTTGTGTCCTGCCCTCCAAGTTACAGGGGAAGAATGTGCAGTGCCGTCCATATGCTCAGACAGAGGATTAAACAGGTCGGATGGAGCCCAGGACAGAGTCCCATTAAGGTGCCCAACCAGGAGCCTACCCTTTCATCTAGCTGGAATGGCGTTAGGAGACCTAGAGAAGCTGACCTAGGAAAACTCACGATTGAGAGAAGTCAGGAAGGAGTCCAAAGCAAGTCCAAGGGAAATACCCATAAAAAAGCAGCAGGAGGAGGAAGACCCAGCAAGGGAAATAGACAGGTAAGCAGAGAAGTGGGAGAAAAGAATGGATACTGGCAAAGTTTTTAAGCTCTCCTGACCAACATGTATATTAAATATTTTAATTGCTATTATTTGGTAACATGCAGGTAAAGGATACAGTTTTTCTGAGGCTTGATGAACTGTTGAAAAAATATATAATACACTCTAATACTATTTTTTGACCTTGACTCAACCCTTTATATCAGATAGCCATAATATAGCTGTCTCTCACATGGACCCATTCTTAGAATACAATGTCGTTTATATATTCATTCACTCATTCAACAAATATCTGAGGGTCTGCAAGAGGCCAGGTGCTGTTTTACTTCCTGGAGATATAGCAATGAACAAAATAGGCACGCACTGAGAGGAAGCTCATATTCTGTTACGAAAAACAACATAAACAAAGGACACGCGAAAACATAGTATCAGACAGGTAAGCACTGCAATGAAAAATACAGATTTGGATTATAGAGAGGAATGAAAGCCCTGTTTCATATAAGGCGGTCAGAGAAATATATGCTTCTTTCATGCCCGTAGTCTAACAAAGAGCCAAGGTTTCATTGGATTACTAAGTAGGTGAGGAAAAAGTACTGCAAACGTAATTGCTCATTGATTATATTCGTTATTCAGTGAAAATGAAGAAAAATTACCTGAGAGGACTATTTATTTCCATGTTCCTTTAGCATTGTTACCTTCCTGGCCCTCTCTTTGTCACCTTTCCGCAGGTCTCCCCCTTCAGCCTGAGGCGGGGTGGCAGCGGCAGCAGTGGGGACGCGGCGGTGGTGGCGGTGGTGGCGGTGGCGGGGCTCCGCTGACTCGATGGCACACACCTGTCCGTGTGGAATGTTTACTCCCTCACCCGGAACCCCACTCAGAACTCCCTCTATGAGTTAAACAATACAGTCACGAACTGTATTCACAAACTAGTCTCTGAAATTTCTGAAGGAAGAATTATTCATTCAATATACTGTCTTATGCCTGATAATAAGATAACAACAAAACAAGTGGAGTGACACCCAAGTGAGGTTATTTTTTTTTCCTTATAAAAGTCACGGCACTTTCAAAATAGTGATTGCAGGAGACTCTCCTTAATATACAGACCAGTTGCCTTCCCTCTGCCATATATCTCAGGGCTTCTCCGCCGTCTCTGGAGGACGCCTCCTCCTTCCTGCCCTGCAGAGCCTGCACAATCCATCTCGCTCTTGAGTCACAGCCTGAAAGTTACAGACCTTTTCTGGACTGTCTTTTTTTTTTTCTTTTCTTGAGCCTGCCTTCCCTCCTGGCCACTAGGGCTAGTCCATAGGTTCCTAACCTGGAGCTGCTTTCCCCTCTCTCACCCCAGGCTAGGTTAGAACTGGAGTCCTGAGTCAGCCTGCTTGCACATTGAAGAGCTTTGGACAAGCTCAGGTGCTTACTGGACATCTCCATGGGGATGTGTGACAGTCAACTCAAAGTCAGGTTCAAAATGGAGTTAACTACTTTTCCGCCAGAATCTTCCCCCACCGTAGCTTGGTGAGGCTGGAAACTGTTTACCCAGAAGCCCTTCCCTGTGTGGTTTCAGGTGAGATTTGCCCAAGAAAGGAATTGGTAGCGCCACATGTGAATGCCGTCACGGTTCAGTGAGACGACCCATAGAAGCAGAGGTCCCTGGGGGGTTTCACCTTGTTCTTGTTCCTCTACCATGCATTCTGCTCTTCCTGCAGGCCCTGCTGACTGACTCATCCGCAGCCCCAGATTCATCAGCAGACGCCCACCTACGGACCCACCAAGGCAAATGTTTCCTTTACAGTTAGTTCTCCATCAGCCTCCCCTTTGTGGTCTTCCTTTGGTGGCTGGACATCCTTGCCTTCTCCAGAATGACTGGTGGGGGACTTCACTTGTCCACCAACTCCTCCCACCCCCACCCAAGTTGTCCAATTGCCTAGCTCCTACTACATACTATGTAAGGTCTAATTTCAACAACAGATCCTTTATTCTGTAGTTCCTATGGCTCGGCTTTGCTAATTGAACCCTAACTAAAACAGGCACTGCCACCCGACCCTACTCTCTCTTTCTGGATATACACATTAATCATTAAGGCCTGCCAGACATCCCTCTTCCATATCCCTCTAATCACCCACTTGTCTCTTTCCCCATTGCTATTGCTGTTTCAGGGCACCAGACTATTTTGCCTAACTTCCTACACTAGCCTCCTTTCTGCCCCACCCACCCCCAGTCTGCTGGCCTCTCAGCATTCCCCTCGGAGCAGCAGCCTGGATCCAACTGCCTAAGGCTTGTTACTGGCTTGCTCTTGTTCTGGAGATAAGCTCCTTAAAGTGTTTGAGAAATCTCTGCATCCTTGGCTTCTGCTAACCTCTCACCACTGTTCCCTCACCCTGTGCCAATACTGTGTAGAGACATTAAACAAATATTCACACGTTTGTAGGAAATACTGTTGGACACTGTTAATCTGAATGCCTTGTTATTCGATTGCTTTTTCCTTCACACCACGGACGCGTGTACCCCGTATTCATTTCCAGCAGCTGCGTCACCCCGTGCCACTGTGAGTGTGGGGAGGAGGGAGGCATCTTCTGCAAGCGAGTGCTGGGTCTCCTGCCGGCTCCCGCTCTCGGGGCAGGGCCCTCGCAGCGTTGCTGGGGTGCTCCTATCTCACCTCCACATGCAGCTCTCAGGCTGCGATTAGGGTAGTAGGAAAATCCCCTTACAGAAGTTACCCAGTGACTTAATGTCAACTTTTTCCCCAGAGAAAATTAGAAAAAAACATATTCCAAATGAAATTCTTCCCAAGGGAGAAAGTGATTATATCTCTCCATGGGTCCTCAGTAGCTTGTTGTCTTCCAAGGTGTATTTGTCATTGGTTGATTTTATTAATTGGTTATTTTGTTGATGTTATTTTATTGATTTAAAAACATGTACTTTTATTTATTTATTTGGTACCCAGTCACTGCAGTCTTCTTTTTATAATATTTAATCAATAAAGAAGCATGCAGAAGGAGAGCAGAAGTCTCCCTTTCCTCAACGTAGCCACTGCCGAAAGTCAGATGTGTGTTGTTCCAGACTGGTTTCTATCTGTTTTCTTTTCCTTTCGTTTTCAATTTATTTATTTTTAGACAGAGGGAATGGGAGGGAGAAAGAGAGGGAGAGAAACATCAATGCGTGGTTGCATCTTGTGCACCCTTTACTGGGGACCCGGCCCGCAACCCAGGCACGTGCCCTACACTGGGAATTGAACCAGCGACCATTTGGTTGACAGGATGGCACTCAATCCACTGAGCTACACCAGCCAGGGCTAGGTCTCTATCTACTTTCATAGGTACATGAAAACATAGATACAATCTGTTTTTAGACTTAGGCTTAATTTGCATACATTCAACTGCACAAACTCTAAATGTACAGCTTGATGAGTTTTTATATAAGTATGTATTTGTAGACTCTGTTATATCTTTTTTTCTGTATTTTTAAATTATCTTGGCAACATAATCATATTATTCTGTAAATGTTATCTGTCACTAGTATGGGGAGGAGATTTTAAAATAATTTATTTTTATGGAGGGATTTTTTAAGTTTGTAACTATCAACCTATCCCATTCTTTTTAATAATTTTTATTTTGTTTATTTATTGAGAGAGGGGAGGGGAGGTAGAAAGAGGGAGAGAAACATTGATGTACAAGAGCTACATCAATCAGTTGCCTTTCACAAGCCCCCAGCTGGGGACCTGCCCTGCAACCCAGGCATGTGCTCTGACTGGGGATTGAACTGGAAACCTTTGGTTTACAGGCCAGCACTCAATCCACTGAGCCACAGCAGCCAGGGCTATCCCATTCTTTTTAACTGCTGTATTATATTCCTTAGTAAATGTAAAGATGTAACATCATTGAGCCATTTATGCTCAATGCTCATTTACGGAATTTACTTTTTATTATAATAACATGACAGTGAATAAGAACACACGTGTACAAGCCTACAAGCCCCTGTGTACACATGCTGGTGATTGTGGGATGTCCAGACCACAGGAAATCTGTGCGCCAAATGGAAGGAGCAAGGGCCTGGAGCAGGCAGGCTGGACACAAATCCCAGCTGGCTGCTGACTTGCTGGTGCTTTTATATTATTTAGCCCAGTTTGCACCACAAACTGGGTTTTGTCAGCTGTGAAATAATGATAGTAACGATAACCTTGCTAAAATGGTGTGAAATGAGAAACATCGGTCAAATACTGAGCACAGTGTCCAGGATAGATATTCAGTAATGTTATTATCATTAATAACATTTAATATCCCCACACTTCACAATCACTTATGCACATGTATTTCCATTAAATTCTCTTCCCCTGAGTGGCTGTCACCTATTTGTATCTTTCTGCTCACTTAGAGCCTTTGTTACACCTCTCTCTGCCCTCACCCCCCTAGATCCACGTCACCCTTACCAGTACACACACACACGTAAATATGTATACAGATAGACATTCACACACGCTCACACACACACTCACGTTTAGAAAGCAACTTGAAAGAGAGAGTAGACAGAAAACATGATGAATTTCAGGCTATTTCAGAGTCTAGAGCCTTTCCTATTCTTGAGAATATCATGTGTCCACTAAAATGGTAACATATTAGATTTACTCAAATATAAAGAAAAAAAATAAGGTAACTTAGTAAGGTGGAGTATTACATAATTAATGCACAAAAATTAATTTGGAAATATGAAAAAGAACATATTAGATATTATAAGGAAATAACTTAATTAGGAATAAAAGATTAAAAAATGTATATAAAAAGCATAAAACTCTCCAAGATAGTAAAGAAAATATAGGCAAAGGTCTGCCTTGCTTTTGGATTAGAACACTCAGTGTTGGATAGATGTCACCATAGAAAAGGGGAAAGCAAATCACATATAATTGACAAAGTATTTAAACCCAGAGTGTGTCAAAATATAAACAACTCAAACAAATCAATAATAGAAAGAAAAACATTCCCTTTCAAAAAGGCAGAAGACTTGAGAGGCACTCATATAAGAGGAAATATGAGTAATTAATAAACATGAAAAATTACTCTACCTCAATAACCAGGAAGATGCAGATTTAAATATTTATCAAGTAATGTTTCCTGTGCAACATATTGCACCATGCGCTAGAGCCCGATCATCTCAAATATTGGCAAGGATGTGGAGTGTTGAGAACTCTTATGCTCTGCACTGTTCATGGGAGGAAAATCAGCACCATCTCCTCAGAAAACAACGTTGCCTTATCTTGTAAATTGAAGATGCACCTATTCCGAGGGTCTGTGGGTCGAACGGTCACTACCAACTATGGCCTGTGGGCCAATCTAGCCTCCATCTGTTTGTGTACAGCCTGCAAGCAAAGAAAGGTTTTTATATTTTTAGTTGGTTGAAATAAACCAGAAGTATATTTCATGATATGTGAAAATTATTCAAAATTCACCTATCAGTGCTTAAAAAGAAAATTGTTTGGGGACACAACTGTACATATTGTCTGTGACTGCTTTTGTAATACAACAGCAGAATTGAGTATGTGCAACGGAAACTACAAGGCCCGCAGACCTAAAACATTTACTATCTGGTCCTTTATAGAAAGAGTTTGTCAACCTCTGTTCTACCCTATGCCTTAGCAGAACCGTTTTGAGTTATTTACTCTTTAGAAACTATGATGTGTATTGCACTAGGGGACATGTATTAAAGCAGTTATATTAGTGTAGTTGATAATAATGAAAACCAGACACAAACCAAATATCTATCAACAAGTATATATTAGTTATCTATTGCTGCGGAATGAAGTGCCACAAAATAAATGTTACTTGAAACAGCATATATTTAT